TTACTCATCATCCGGTTCTATTCCCCACATCCTGTAAAAGTCATACTCTTTTGCGATTTGAATCGAAGAAAATACTACCCCACAAACACACCCAACGAGACCGAAGAGTGCTATGGATAGATCAAATAATATATGATACCATGGCATGGTCGGATAATGAAGCTTTACATGGAAAAGGCATGGATAAATTAACACTAAAATCGTGCCGGTAAAGCTACCGACCCACGCCATTAACAAACCAAAATGGGGTACAAAAATAGCTACAAGGGTAGAAAGGAGGATGAATACAAACCTAAAAACAAGTTTGGGCATGGAATTTTTGTTGCAACGTAAAGGTTCGTCTTTCAGTTCAGCAAACAACTGAATGTCAAGTTGATGTTCAAATATGTCGTAAAGCGTAAACATTGGAACGACATAGAAGAGAAGAGCTGTGACTATTACAGCTAGGGAGAGAGTAATGCGGAAAGCGCCGTCTGGGATACTCAGAGTCATGATCTGTTCTGTGTGCTCGCGGAAGCAGAAGAACACCAAGATGCCATAGTTGAACTTGATTATTGTAACAAGCGTGTAGGTAAAGTCCATGATGGCGTTAAATTCACCTTGGTATCGCATGGATTTCTCGATGATGGGTAAATAAGCCTGCGAGGAGTAGGTCACGACTATGATTCCCATGGCGATAGACATTTCCTTGAACCTGAACGGTGCCAAATCGTGGGTTCTCCATTGGTGAAAGTGAGCCAACGCGTAAACCAAAACGCAAGTCGAACTAACTATTGCTACGATGACGGTTAGCAAGCTGATCCATGAGATATGCTTCATCGTGCGCACGCCGGCGCACGGTAGCACGGCGATGGAGACCACTGCGATCCAGACGCTTTCAGACACGAAGCTGTCGGGGAACGTATGATGGAGAACCGTGCCGCACATGATCAAAAACAGCGTGCAGTGCGAGAACTGCTCAAAGAAGTTGGTGATGTGAACCATAACACGCCCATAACGCGGCCAGAATGCCTCGCCCAGATCAGCATACGTTGACTTGGAGAGATCTTCATAGGCAGTGTCTTCTCGGAGACAGTAGATAAGAAGTTTACCCGTGTAGTTGCCAAGCAAAGCGATAATGATGATCAAAATGACTCCCCAGTAGCCGGTCAGACGGATAACATATGGCATAGCGAGAACGCCTGTTCCCATGTTGGCGTTAAAAATGTTGAAAAACGCTTGCGTCGAAGACGTCTTGCTTTCTTGATGGCTTTCTTCGCCATTTTCTCCTCCAACTTTTTCTCCTTTTGCTAGAAGCGGCGACGTCGACCGCGACTCGCTCATAGTGAAATAACTGCCCGATGTTTTGACCGGCGATCAAATACAGTTGTTGTTTTCTCTTTGACTACACACTATTCATAAGCTCAAAGTTCCTCCGCTTGATTTTAGATGTTTCTTCGTCTGGTTTAACGGCGCTTCAAGGATATGTTTTCAGCCCTAAAAAACACATGATAATTCTTAATGACTCACTTCTAGAAGGAATTTACAGTTTTAAATGAACTTTCCTTGAATAAAACGTTCAGGCTCCTTGGCAAACAATTTATATGTTGGAAGTCTTTAAGCTTATTAGTGAACAGCAGCCAATTATCTGAACTTCATCAAATATCAACCAATCAAAAGCGACAGCGAGGTAAAAAATATTCCCCATATCCACCTGCCGGTCCAATTCCAGTGTCTCGAACATTCCGATCCCGTCCTTAAACACTTTGTGAAGTAACCCTTACTTTTTACTTAAATATTTTGCCTTGTTTTCGATCTCTAAAAAAAACGAACATGTATGTCAAGATCATCCTCAATGCAATTTTTGTTTAATACTTTGACCATGTTTCTCCTATTAATAATTAAATTGAGTATTCAGCACGGATTAAATTGGCTACTTTTAGCGTTTTAGGTAATAATTTATGAACTCTCACTTGCGAAAGGAAGATACAGAAATTATCTTTTCTCTTAAAAATTAGAGATTAGAGACTTAAGAGGCAAAAAGAATGTATCTCCCCAAGAATTTGAAAAAAAATTCCACTCCGGAATGTATTCGTGAATAACTTTGAAACGGTGAATTGGGTTACGAAACAAAGATATTAAACGCTTTTATTTTAAGAGATAATGAAATTTTATCACTTGAATCAAATTAACAATATCCTGTAAATTTTCGAAGGTATAATTCAATAAAATATACAGAGAGGCGTAAAAATGCGAAATTAAAAATAATCACCCAAAAGATTCTGTTATGTTATTGCCGCGTTTCTCTCTTGTTTACACTCTATTCAATCCAAAATTACTTCTCCAAGATTTTTGCATTTCGATTAGGGAAAAAAATAATGAGTATATCATTTTTAGGAATAATTGAGTGTCTGGAAGTAATTGGCTTTCTTTACAAGACCCTTGATTCCTGCCTGTACGGCTGAAATCAGTCTCCAACAATCTCCAACTAACTCAGCCCACACAATTAAACGTGGGGATCGATCAGATTGTCACCAAGCAACACAGACTTAGGTGAAAAAAGCTTTAGAACTCGAGAATCTCCCTAAAGTAGCCTACAGAACAGGCGTTATTTCCTTTGCTAACCAGAAAATGGCCTGATATTATTCGAGACATTGAAGTGGAACGATTTCATCTTATTCTTGTCAGCCAGCGTTCCTTATCCAGCTAACGTCAGTGATCTCATAGTAGCCTTTGATAGTTCTAAGCATAGTTGGTAGAATTAACACATTAAAAAACAACAAAAACATGAACAAAACAAAATTATTCTTTCAACGAAAGTTTGAATCCCTACAGTGTTTCATGTTTATCACTCCACTTTGTCAAAAACCAAGCCGATCTTGAGGCAACAAATCCACCACTGTTTTAAGTGCATGTTCTTATTTTTCTTAGAACACGCTGATCTTGTTATCTGCCCGAACTTTATCCCTTTACATGACAGATCAAAAATATACCGCACTCTTTCTTCGCTTGTTAATTACTGCTGATAAACCTGCTGCTGCATTTCAAAAGATGTTTTTTACAAACAATGCTTTGAAGAATATTTACAAGTTTATAGCTCCAGAATACAAAAACAAAAATGCAAGCTCCGCATTTTTTCTTACTTTAGAGGCTTCAGCTAGTTGTCTATACCTAATGTTGTTCACTGTCCTGGGTCAACATTTTTGGAACTAAATAGAGCTCATGAATGTATATATTTTTTACATTGTATAAAAAATCATATTGAGTCTGGAAACAAAAAGATATCAACCTAAACTTTTGAGTTTTTCTTTTTTCGATTATTAATTAATAACTGCATGTTGATAAATCTGGTGCTGTATTTTTGAAGATGCTTTGACAAAAAACCCTTTATAAAGTTTCCCAAGTCTATAACTAGCGTACAAAAACTAAATGCAAGCCGTATATTTTTTCCCTATTTTTGAGACTTCTAAAGAATGTATACTCAGATTCAGGTCGATGTCATGGGTCATCATGGTCGACTATCTAGAGCTCATAGCTGTCAGTAATTAGACACTTTTATTTTTTCACAATTGTAGAAAGAATGATATCGAGCTTGGAAACAAAAGCAAACTAAACTTTAACCCCTATACATGATTGATTAATATACAAGGAGGTTTTCTTTGTTTGTTAATTATCGTTGATAAATCTGCTCTTGTATTTTTAAAAATGTGTTGACAAACAAACCTTTAAAAACAACACGAGTATGTTTCATCAGCGTGCAAGCCTCGCATTTTTGCTACTCTTTGGCCGAGCCTTCCACTCAAAAAAGAAACAGTAAAATAAGTCAATCGTCTTGGGTCAGCATGGTGTACAACATTAGTAAAATTTCATCGCCATTTCTTCGAACTGGGAAACAAAAACATATTTTGAGGTGAGATTCTTTTTTAGTTCACATTAACGTTCTTGGAAAATATTTGACGATCCCCACATATATAAAGATGTCTTAGATTTGAACCTTAGTTTATTAATTTTCATGTAAAGAATATTTATTGGTCTTGATGAATGCCCTTGCGTTAATTCTGTCAGCTTCGCTTTGAACTGTGACTCGCCAGTAAAGAACATGAGGAGTGATATGAAGCGTTGAATACGATAAATTCCGGCCAGTTACATTTTTTTTGTCAGAAACTTTGAACTTGAGTACGGTTCCTTTTCTTTAGCCTACGTGTATCCGTACCCTCCCTCCAACCGTTTGTCCTTTGTCAGGGTGCAGGAATTCTTGTTTGGCTGTGCCGCCCGGTTCCCTAAATCCTGACCCTATTTCAGACCAAAATTTCATTTTCCACACCCGTTTACAGACCTGGTCTCAAATCAAAAATCTATGCCCGATTTCAGACCTACATATATGTGTGCCCCTTGCTTTAAGTTTGTCCTACGTAAGCAGAAATTATTTCATCATTACTTAGATTAGAACGCCAACAAAAAGATTTCTTGCAATCATTTCAAATTCACAAATTATCTTTTTTTCTTTTTCATTTGGGAATTGAAACAACAAATAAGTACGTTCATTCTGAAATTCTAGACAAAAATTGGCAAAGTCTATACCCGTTTTCAGACCAAAATGGCACAATAACCATACCCTTTGGGGCGGCACATACCTGTATGGCTTATATAAGGGGGTACCCTCTAACCCCCCTGGAGATGGGCCTTCAACTTGGGGGGGGGAGGGGGTAGGCTTATAAGGGGAATTTTACGGAATATCAGGAAACATTTAGATCGAGTTCTATGCCTAAGTCTCTAGTGAAAGCAGGGCCGGCTACATCGCAGGCAGAATAACCTGAGATCTATCCTATGCCACAAGCGAAACTAAACCTCTGGTGAAATTTTAGCTCGACCACGTAAGAGAGAATGTCACTGGAAAACCTGAACCATTTATAGACTTCAGAAAAGTCAGTAGAATCTCTCTATCTTCCTTGTAAATTGCAATGTCCGTAAACGTGCACACTGTACAGACATTTTATAAACCCTATTAAATGTCTGTAGATAAGATCACATTTTAAGCGACCAGATCGCATATAATGTCCGTGAAATCCCAATGCTTTGCCCGTAAAATTCAATTAAAGTTTACAGAGACTTTAAAACGTAGCTAAATAACCTTTTAAAATGTGAAAATAATCTATGAAAGCTAGTGGGCCTGATCTCAGGTTACGCAGGTTGCCCTGGTGTAAACATAGCCTGAGTTCGTGTCGGGTTATAGCGCTCTTTGTAAGTTAAGATCTAGGAAAGAGGTGACTGATGAGAATGTTAAAGGAAATAGATGGTCCTTGAAAGCGAGGTGTTAGAATGTGTTAGCACAAATACTTGTTGGGTCTTCACTTTAAGTGGAGAGATATTCATGTGAAACGGAAGTGAAACGAGGATATATTCTCATGCAAAATTAAAATGAAGGATCCTGTTCTTTTTAAGCAGGAAGAAATAATATCTTATGATTGGTGTAAGATGTATCATTTGAAATTGGATTTAAGATAGAAATCGATCTTACCTCAGCATCTTGTGCGCCTATCCGTAAGACGTTTTACTATTTATTTCAAGGTCGATAAAACTTAAATTTAAGAGGAATTTCATCTTAGATTAATGAACTGAAAATTAAAGTGGTCAGTTCTCAATGTCGCCACGTCAGTGATAATAGCTTAATTTAAGACGGTTTCTTGTTACGTAAGACGATCCATTTCAAATTTGATGAAACAAGGAACGTATCCTACTTCAGCACCAGTCTCTGAAGAAGATAAACGGTCTTAACTCAAGATCTGAGTTTTTGTGGAGGCCTAAGGCCTGAGCGAAATACTAGCGATACTAAGGTACTAAGGCATGCTGCATCAAGTTACAGGCCGGTTTGGTGATTTCCACTTTTCATCCTCAGTTTATAGCTCTTCCCAATGTAGGTTACAGGCTCAGTGCTTCAGTTTTCGCACCATGTAAGGGAATCCAAGACAGTCTTGGATTCTGGATTCCATACCGTGGATTTTAGATTCCAGGTACTGCATTCCAGTTTTTGTCAGTGAAACGTAGATTCTGGATTCCAGTCGTTATTGTAGGTTTCCAGATTCCTCGAGTTATATTCCGGAATCCGGATTCCTTTACATGGAGCGAGCTTTTGCTTTTATTTGTATCTTACTAAGCCATGTCGTTAAATTTTTCGTGTATGATCGAGTCATGAAGAATGGTTCTTCTTAATTCTGTGTCGTCACCTAATTTTCACGATGTAAGCCGGGCGTATCTCGATAAACTTTGAAAGTTCACATAGTGTGGGTAGAGTTTGTAGAGTCTCTCTCTTGCTCCGAGAGGTTTTTCTCCGGGTACTCCGGTTT